TCCTCAAAATCTCTAATAGATATTTTTTCTTGGGTATACTCAAAACAATATTTATTTAAGATTTTCCGCCATGGTTCTAAACTACTTTTCCTAATGTTGTCAAAATTACGCCTTAATCATATTAATTCCCTGTCGGTTCCTGTTATTCATTCCAATATTTTTACTTTGACATTATGGCTTTTTCCCGTTCCGCGGGAAGTAATTATTATCTTTGTCAAATAGTCCTCATCCAATAAATCACTGAACTTTTTATAAATCTCGGCATATCCTTCGGGGAAGGTTAAATTATTTAAGTCATCAAGCATCTTATCTTTGCCTGTCTCAACTTTATCACTTAAATCTTTAACTTTTGCCATCTCCGATAATTTTTTCTTGTAATTTAATAACTTGGTCTTTGAGGTCATTAATTTCTTGCCTTTGTTCGTCAATCTGCTTCTGTTCGTTTCCGTTTTTCTTTTCTAACTCTTTTATTCTACTCACATTAATTAAATGTTTCCGTTGGTGGTCTTGGTCGTTTTTCTCTAATGTTATACTTTTTCTAGTCATTTTCCCTTTGTAATCTAAAAACGCAAGAACTATTATAACAATTACGCCTGCCAATATGCCAATGCCAATCAAGCAATTTTTATCCATTTTATTAATTTAATTTTTTAATTTATTAAAAAGTTTTTAAATTGTCTTTCATTCATAATTTACTATAATCTTTGTAAATTTCCTCATAAGAATTATGAATATAAGAGGTGGTGGTTTCAATACTACTATGGCCTAAAAGTTTCTGAATAGTAGTTAAACGCACTTCAATATTATTTAAAAGGGTAGCAAAACTTCGCCTGAATGTATGAGGGCTAATATGTTTCTCTATGCCTGCCTTTTTAGTCTTTTTATAAATCATGGTTCTTACTTGAATGGGGTCTAATGGTTTTTTATTTTTGGTCGTAAATAAATATTCAGAGGAAAAAGGATTAAAATATTTCATCAAAAAATCAGGGACGGGAATATACCTAATCTTGTTGCCTTTGCCTTTTATTTTCAAACTTTTATTCTGGTAATCACAATGTCTAATACTCACTAACTCACTTACTCTAATTCCCATGTAAAATAAAATGTC